TTTTCACGCGAGGGTCTGTCATCTATGTAAATCGGTGTGATCACTGAATTACACCGTTCAGTTGGAACCTGTTCCCTCTCCCACACTGAGCCCAAGAGATTCGTTAACTCCGAGACCAAAGCTGAACCTCCATCCTTAAAAACAGATGAGGAGAGCACGTTTGGGCCGGAGACCTTATGCCTTTTGAGGTAGCTTATTTCCCGGGAAACCTTTATTTCACACCATGTCAAGATGCAGTTTCGTGGTGATGGCGTGGAGAGGAGGCATGAAGAAATACACAGAACCACTAGGTAGAATAGGTGTCCCTCGGCTTCCACGTTGGGGTCCGAAAGACTCCTCAACTGGTTTGTTGGAGACATTGAAGAATATGGCAGCGAACCGACAGCAGTGGCCTTCTTGNCAGACATCACAGGATCAATAAGGCCGCTCAGAATCGGGTCAAAGTCTCGGAACATCCGTTTGCTTCGCTGATCGCTGCCAAGCTCTCGATGTACACAAAGTAAATGCGAAAGTTCTAGATGAATAGGAGTCGGGCTTAATTGGAGGGTGGTAAAGATCTTGAACCCCGACGGTCAACATACGGAGTGTACAGTCTAATTGTACATATGCACATACAGTTTCAAGAGCATTCTGACCGAATAAGCAATGATAGTAAAAACGCCACTGTTGTCGGTGCGCTGTCATATCCTTCAAGGTATCTAACCAACAAGTTACAAAGTCTTTTGGACCCCAATCTGTATGACCGAAGACACCACTACTCTACCCAATCAGTCCGCGTGTTTCCTGAAACAACGAAACCTTTGGGGATTTCATATCGCCTTCGAACTGTGTTGCTCAGCGTTAGAAAGACCGTTGCAATGGAACAAAAAGACATGATCTTCATGGTCAAACGGAAGCTGAAAATAGATAAACCTTGGTGGGATCAGAAGAAATAAATACTTATCACATGTTACACTACTGCATTCACTGAACTGTGCATATCGATTGTGAACTGGTTAATGGCTGGTTAGAAAGGACGTGAATCTCAATGTGTGTGTGTGTGTGTAGGCCTTCCAGTCATGTGTGATTGGGATGTGTGGTTATGTGAGACCTCAGGATCACATTTGGTTGATTGACTGCATTGGTATGATGCGATAAACCAGCAAGTTGGACATATTCTCAACTGTTTTGAGATGAAAACAAGTGCTAGCCCATCTCTGGGAAGCCCCGAATTGCCAAAAACAAATTCAACCCTGCTAGGCCGATAAATGCACTTGAACTGTTAGATCCACATGAGTTTTGTTATTGATTTTCTGAATCTCATTTAACGGATGGGGAGAGGAAAAGGCAAGATAAAATATCAGAGGAGATACCGTTCAGAAAAAACCATGAACTGATCAAACAGAAATCAATTACACGAGGTAAAGTATGATCGACATGAGGGGGAGGGCGAGAAGTGCCTCGTTCGAAGAACACAGACTTGTGAGATTGCACGAAGAGTGTTTATCGAAACCATGTCATTGTTCCATTGACTATCGAAGAACAAATGTTGCAACCTATTGCGTATCGTCTATACCGACTGGTAGAGACCCGAGTCGTGATTGATTGTTTGAGAAACGTGAGAAAACGCTTACACCTTAAACGGACGATTTCTTTTTATCGGTTTACGGTGAAATTTTGTCGTAATGTTGTTACAGTAATGGAACGCTCTGGAGACGAAGTCGGCATTTACATCCGACTGGGTATGTGTATAACATGGAACCTAATCTTTCATATCCAATGGATTGGAACTCAAAATAACGTCCGAAAACAACTTTGCTTGTTCAAACTGATACCCCGTTTTATTTGTTCGCCCTATTTTTCTCTTGGTGTTAATGTGGTTCGATGGAGCCATTCAGCACAGTTGCGTCAAACCTGCTTCGTAGACGATGGACACTGAAACGAGGACCCAGTTACCTCATGCGATAAAAATTGTTTTTCTACTTTACTCAGCCAGGGGGAGAGGGTACTGTTTAAAAGTCTCTTAGTAAAAATTCCCAAAGTATAGGCTCCCTTGTATAACCTCACAGAATTGGGTTAGGGAAGCAAGTTACAGAGCGCAGTGTGTGTGTGTGTGTGTGTGTGTGTGAGTGGGGGGGGGGGNCCAGAACATCAACGATCGCGGAACGAGAACAATGTGGAACTGGAACAAGATGAGAAATCGGACAGAGGACAAAAATACATTGCATTTCTGATACGAGATGAACGATGCGCAAATAAAACAGAGAGAGACAAAGAGAAGGAATGATGTGGAATAAAGATATTTTTCAGAGGACGGAGAGCTTATGCATGAGCGAACGCCGCAATTCGAATACAACTAGTTCAACTGTGAGCGAAAGACGATAACTGTGTGGGGGGCACTTCATATGATTATGATATGGATGAGTGAAAGACAACGGTAAAACAGCCGAAAATCCAATGAACTAGGAGAAATAGGGAGCTATGCAATAGTTGGACAAGCAGCGCGGGAGGACCGGACATCCGTCTGCGAAACGAGCTGGTTGTAAACGTAAACGCCGAACACGTGACGGAATGCTGGTGCTCAACATATCATCTTCCTCCTCAGAGTTGTGAGTGACAATGTCATCATGAGTAGAACGATTCGCAAGACCAGTCTGCGTTGGTTCACGCAGGGACCAGGCCTCTGTTACATGACAGGTGTGGAAAGGAGCCTGGAGTAGACTTGGTCGCGTTGGATTCACCTGTCCCAATTGAATCAAAGCCTGATTCTGCCGGGAACTAGTCCCCCAGTCAGTGCATGAATCGGACAACGTGGATGAGGACTCGCTCACGGACTCGGTGAACAGATGAGAGGTTCGTTCCACCACCTCATCCACTGTGATCCCACCGAGTACGTACAGAGTGGACCGGTGCAACACGGCCGAGGCTCGATATCGAGGACAATCGAGGACGGTAACGAACGACCAGGTGTTCTGAAATATCGACAATCCGAAGAGACACAAGAAATAGATGCTATAATGAAACACTAGCGACAAATAAGTTGTGAGCATGCACGCGGTGAATGCTGATTTGTTCGAGCTTGTCTTCCGATTATCAAGTCACTCCACGCATACACCAGTTCAGTTCCGTTTTTACAACCATTAACCATGCACTTTCGTGCGCCGGTAAACATCGCTCGCCGTGGCAACCCATCTGATGACATGCGTAACACATGTCCCAACCAACGTAATCTATGGAGGTCGATCACTTGCTCCAGCAGCCGATCGCGATTACCTGAAACTCGACATCGAACTTCGGTATTGCTCGTCCGGTTTCCCCATCAGACTCGTACAATGCTACTGCTAGACAGCGGTGTTCAAAGACCGACAGAGTTTTTTTCTTAATGGCCAAGTATCTGCACTATAAAGCAGGACTAGCCGAACTGCTGCAGCATACACTCGACCCTTCACAGACAACCAGATGTCGCGACGGCGCCAAAGATGTCTCATGTTGGCGAATGCCAACCGAGCCTTTTGTATCCGTGACGACACTTCATCTGTGATGCGTCCGCTAGGTGAGATATAGCTGCCCAGATAACAAAACTTGTCTACTTCCTCTACTACTTCCCCGGTCAGGGTGAGGCTGGGGACTAGGCCAACCCAATCTTGGAGCAGCATTTTACACTTTGAAGGTGCAAAACGCATACCGAACATGGCAACACTAGCACACACCAGCCCCGGACTGAAAAGCATAAGATTTTGAAGATATCTGAAACAAACCTGGGTGCTTGAAACTTTCATTGTGATATTACCATCTGTCTGTGTGTTCACTCTGAAATCTGAAATACACATTTCCTTTATGCATAATACAATACTATATATTATACAATCCGAGAAAGAGCGCGATTGCATCAAATCAAATCGTTTCTCGGAACTGCTTCACCAACAACAGTGGCGAGAATATGTGCATTAGGTTTCGGGATCAGTTCAATTGGGTGTCTCCANTGTTCACTGGAATGCCGGCGTCAGTCTTTTGCCGTCAGAGCGCGTGCACCACTTGGAACGCTCTTCCATCCCACCGCATTTTTGTGTCAAATGTTGAACCTTACAAGCGGAGATTTGATGAAACACTATCAAACATTACATTTTTATACAACTGAAAACCCCATTTTGGTTGAACAGTACATTATGTGTTATCTTCTACCCAGAATCATGTGATATTTATCATTTTTTGCAGAGGAACGATTCCATGGTCAAAATACCCCACAAGAGACAAGAGAAGCATGAGCTAGGTAAGCAATTTTTCATAAGAAAACTTTGACTTGGAATTACTACCATCGAAATCAATAAACGGTAATCCAATTGGGAAACTCGACGGAAGACATACGGAGACTACTCACGATCGAGTGCCTCCAAATAGGCAATTAAATAAACGGACCACATGAGAGACGTACCGAATTGATTTTACTTACCAAATCGAAATCAAATGCCAGAATTTGACCGAACAGATTACCGACGGTCACATTTGGTCGGCCAGCAAAAGCCGAATCGGTCTGACCGCCACAAGCGAATACCTGATCTCCGGCGTCGTCATAGACCAGAGCCAAACCGGCCAGAGGGAGTGGGAGCTTGGGTAATGTAATGAAACAGGAATGACTGTCCTCGGCCGGATCGTACAACAGAACACGATCTGTCGGACGTAACTCGACCCCATGTTCATGCAACCCACCGGCGAGCATGATCATACCTAAGGAATGGGTGAGTTAATAGGGAAGGCGAGGGGATAGTGGAGAGACGGTTAAAATTAACGTGACGGTTTTTGTAACATGGGGGAGGGGGGTGCAGGAGAAGAAAAATATATTGAACCCGGCAAATCCATTGACTCACGTTTGGACGGGATCAGGCAGACACCCATATCAATTGGGGTGAAAGGTAGACGATGCGGAGCCGAAGTCCACCGATTCGCAATCGCATCGTACACGAGGATCGAGTCCGTGGCCGGGGAGTAACCAGTGGTCCAGTTCAAACGATAGCCACCAAACGCATACACATAAGTCTCCACGCAGACAATCTTATGATGGGAGCGTGGTGCATCCAGTCCGGCCATTGGGAACCAAGTGCGTTCCACTAGATTGTATCGCGCACAACTGTGAACAGAACGAAATCAAACAAGAACGCGGGGGATAATGCAGTCTAGGTAAAGACGAACTGAGCATAAACGAGAAAGAAGCAGTAAGTGATGCGTTTGAAATTGGTAACAGCGACCTCTGAGATATCGACCGATCATTATAACGAGGCTATTTGCTTTAAGGTGACTTTTCACAATCATGCAGAATGTAGAATGGTCGCATAGTTAAATGATTTTTTTCACTTTCCTGGTGACTTGAAGTGCAGTTTGATTAACCTGTTGGTTTTTAATCAAACGAACGTGAATTTTTTTATTACACAGTTTACTGTGATCAACATTAGACGGGGCAAACCCCATAGTCACAAAGAACTGCTATTCAGAGATGATAATCGGCAACCGAAGCCCCGGGACGAGCCAAATAAGGCCCAGACACTAGATCAGGCTTGGTGTTGAACCGGACGACAGCAAAGCTGCTCACTATCAAAGCTGGATGGTGGTGGTGGTGGCGGGGTCGAACCTTGGACCCCAGGGTCCAACGCATGTCGGTGACAGCGACTAAACCACTGCGCCACCATCACCCAAAGATGCGTGTCCAGGTTAGCCACAAGATCAGTGGTTATCCGGGGAAAAATTGTTCAACTGGTGATTGAATCAGGAGCGTGCATGACTAACGACGGCGATTAACAGAATCAACACATGTCCCTCCTCAGAGTCTCATTATCATTCAATATTTGTGCGAGGAACAGTAGAGGACGCGAATCGCATAGACATGAAAACCTGATAATAAACTGATAATAAAAGTATAAAGTCCCAACTAGGATAGGCGTGGTCTTAAGCCAATTGATACCACACATGCCCACCACGAAAGTTGAGTGGCGATGATAAGGATTAAACCTTAGACGTTAGGGAACAAAACAAACCAATGAAAGCGACTTGAACAGCCCCGTCTAGATGGAGTAGGTGACCAAGGTCGTTAAGAATTTTACTGGACGAGATTGTTTTTGTGGTGGTAAAACAAAAACGAACACACACGAATCAGACATAAACACTGAGTGCAGTAGCGTACAAACGGACCCAATTTTGATGTACTCACTGATTCATTAACTGTCCTTCTTCCGACTCGCCACCGACCAGGTAAATCCAACTCAGTGTGGTAGCGACCGCATGATGAACCCGGGCCGGTTCGGACGGAGCGGTGAGTGTGGTGGCCACACCCACATCCGAATCGTACAGGAGGAATTCGGCATTGTGTACCG